TAAACAGACCCAAATGAGCTAATTTCCTTTGGGCTGCTCTTTGCTCAGGCAGAGCAGGCATCTCTGCTTAGGTACTAAACTATTTGGAGCGAGCAGTAACAGCTTTATACACAGCTCAGATTTGCGCATGCCTGCTTCCCAGCATCCTTTTCCCATTTCCGACAGCATTAACGCACAGTTGATGGATGGTGCACTGCCATGTTTGTACCCTCCATCCCATAGGATGGAGATAAGGAAACATCAATTTAAAGGCGTAAACACCACCTAGCCATTCCTATTCTGTCGAGTCAATCTCTAGCTATGGCCAATGTGATGGGTTGGGCCTGGCTTGCACCAAGCACCTGCACAGCTCAACACCCCGAGCCGGACAAGAGAAAATAGGAAGAACGAGAGCGAGAAAACTAACGGGGCAAAGTAAAGACAGAAAAATCACTCACCAATTACTTTTGTGGGCAAAACAGACAGCTTGGGGAATTTAACTTAAAACATTTAATTACAAATTTGAGTATTGGGAACCAAAGATGACAAACATATAAGCACTTTGGAAAACACCTTTCCTCCCCCTTTCACATGCTCAGCTTCACTCCAGCACCTCTTCTCCCGCCCTCCTGGTCTCCACTGCCTTGTTGTCACAGCAGGTGACGCCCCGTCCTTTCGGTGAGCTGACAGGCAGCGCAGGGGGTGGGAGTCAGGACAGAGTAGTTTCTCTCTGCTGCTCCTTGCGTCCCATGTGTTTCCTCTGCTCTGGCAGAAAGAACAATCCTAACGCTAGTACGCTGTGTCTATTTTACTTAAATTTAGCATATACTTTGACATTAAATATGTATTTCTGCTTTCTCGACTGATGGAGACCATGTAACTGATAACCTTACAGACTGCATGTACAGGCTTACTGCATGTAAGCCTTGTTTGTCTTCACTGCATTTTCTTCTCATGTCTTTACCTGCTCGGCTGTTTCTTTTCTAAGGCATTAGGATTTAGCTGGTCACCTTTTCATTTCAGCAATGTCCTCCTTAAGGCAGCGAGCATAGCGCTGGGCAGCAGACACCCCTGCCCCCCAAAATCAACACTAGGTAATAGCACTAATGGCTGAATCCTGGCATCACTTGGTCATGACCTTGATAAGTACCATCAAACATAGAGGGTTTAAGTGGTTTTACACATTGAAGAAGTCCACAGATGGTAAAGTAATAACGCCTGGCTGCTGAGGAAAGAACCAAATGTTACCTGTTTCTTACATTAGCAGCCAGTGAATTCTTGCACAAATATTAAATACCTACCATCCTGGCAGCAGGTGAATATTTGTAGGTCCTGAGGGACTAATCTAGGATTACTATAAAATCCTGCTGTGAAACACAGCAAAAGCATTATTTGACAAATAAAAGTTAAAAAAAGCTAGATGCATTAGTCTTTAAGATAAAGTTATTTATCCTTCTACAGAAGAAGTGTCAGCTGTTTCTCAGAAACCTAGAGAGTCTCTGAATAGAGCGTGTAGCAGTTGCTTGCTGTAGACCAGCCTATCATTTCAGATTTGGAATAGCAAAAGGATTTTCAGGCTCTTCAGTCATTCCTGGGTACACTGATAATGACAAGTGAGTTAAGTACTAAGCACAGAAATTTCGGTTGCTCTGTAACTAATCTTGTTTCTTCCTGCTTGCTTAAAAAAAAGAAACAAAGCAGGTATTCAGGTTACTGATGTGCTCAGAGCAATAGGCAACATGTCAGAGTCTAATATCTTACCACTCTCGCTTTCCCCTCTTCCTTGTTTCAGCTAAGCTTTGGCTTAGCATAACTTACAGTATCATAAAATAAATTTAAAAGACAGAGGCAGATTTCAACTTTCTTACCATAAAATACTTTGTTAATCGTTATATGAGGCCAAGCTATCTTCTTGACAGCAGCCTCAGTACTCCAAAGCACTGGCTGACATGGATAGGCTTCTCTCGTCTTCCGTACTGTGACTTATGACATTACTTGACAATAAAAGCTCAGGATCCCTTCTTCCACTGGTACTCTTTGTGTCATCTCTATGATTTTTGGAATTCTGGCTCAACTCATTGGCCTTGAAATTTTTTAGCTTTGACATGCACCACAGTAGTAAGTGCCTGACTGCTTTTGACACAGTTAATCACATACAGGCTCTTATCCGGAAGATAACATAAGTCCCTGGACTGTACAAAGTAGATGAAACAGCCTCCTGAATGATGGTTTACAAATATTAACTCCAGTCTCAGTTAAGTGTTTTTCTCCAACACTTTCAATTGCAGCTAGATCACTGGCATTAATTTTTACTGTATGAAATAACTTATTTAGTATTTTAACTCCAAGACTACCTAGTAATTTTACTCTTAGAATAACCGGTTGTGGAAAGCAGCACTATAAAAAACAGAAGGGAAGTGTAGGTGTCTACTGCAGTGGAACTTTGGTGCTGTTTTACATTTTCAAAGCACTCTACGGGTGTATCAAGAGGCAGATTCATCGTTAATGATTCATCAGAATCTAAAGTTAACTGTAAGACATTTAATTAGACTGGTTTGTTTCAGGTATTTGTACAGCTGCAAAGAAATCGTATTACGAAGAAATACATCTGGAAGTCTTGGCTTCAGCATTGTAGGAGGTTATGAAGAACATACTGGGAACAAACCATTCTTTATCAAATCCATTGTTGGGGGAACACCAGCATATAATGATGGCAGAATTAGGTAACGATAACTATCTAATGAAAAGTAGCATTTAAGTAAGTCTTTCATTTAAGTAAGTCTTTCATCTAGTTAATTTGTGGGTTTTTTTTTTAAAACAAGTTTTCATGAAGACATTGTAGGGGGGGAAAAAGGACTCGCTGACACAGAACTAACTCTGACAGATCTGGAAATAGGACATAAGTGTCCTGCACTTTAATAGATTTGCCTTCGTAGTATTTTCAGATGTCCAGCAATCACTAGTATATGAATAAGTATAAAGATAAGTCAGTTTGATCTCTGGGGTAGTACAAAGCATGCCAGCACAGGGAAGCTTTCCCACATCCCCAGCTCAGAAAACCCCCAACCAACAACCTTCCCTGCAAACACCAATACAATTTAAGAGAGTAAATGCAGACTTACAGAGCAAACTTAAATCAATTAAGAAGTCTTAAAACATAGTTTGTTCAGAACACAGATCATTCCCATCTGAAAGAACTATACCCTATTTTCTTTCAAATATATCTAATTAATTATAAAGTTGTAAGGGGAAAAAAAAGTGAAGTATTTTCACCAGCTTTATTCCCTTATTCGTGAACAGTGGTTAGCCAGAGAAGGAATGGTACTACTCATTTCTACCCCTTCCTCCCAGCTTAAGGACATGTTTTAGCATGTCCAAATGTTTAAGATAAGAAGTCACCTTGTTTAGTTGTTCTCTCATATTTGCCTTTGGTTTTTCAGATGCGGCGACATCCTCCTTGCTGTCAATGGCAGGAACACATCAGGAATGACGCATGCCTGCTTGGCAAGGATGCTCAAAGAACTGAAAGGAAAAATTACTCTCACAATTGTGTCCTGGCCTGGCACTTTTTTATAAAACAAGTCTTCATGGAGTGTACGGCAAGTAATTTAACACGGAACAAAAAAAAAAGGAACATCAGACTTCGCTTTTTTTTGGGAGGGGTGTCAAGTATGTGTTTATAAAGAAAAGGTTTGTGAAATTTCAACCTGCATGTCAAGAAAAGTCAAGTTTAGGCAAAGCAGGGACACCTGTCAGAAAATCGCTTCAGAGTGATGTAAGCTACAGACTTGTCTTTCCTTCCCCATGTTCTTAAGATTTTTTTTGTTGGTTTTTTATATATATATTTAATGCATTATAATAATAATAATGAAATTTAAGGAGCAGCAGCTCCTGCTCACCCACTTTATTTTGATTTACAAAAAGAAATCCTTGAATAACTTCCGGAAAAATTTCTTGCAATTTTTCCAATTGCAAAAATCAGGTGAAGGTTTTTATCCAACACATTAATAGCACTTTGATTATGTGTACCTTTTCATGGTCAGCATGAAGCTGGTATTTTCAAGACTTTCAAGTACTGTTAAGTCTGTAAAACTGTGAATTAAATTTCTAAAATAATTAAAAATAACTGTAACTGTGTACTTGTACAGACATTATTTTCCTCCAAAACCAAACGACCTGGTTTCCCTTGTATGTTTTGATTAGTAATATTAAATCTAGGATTTTTATATAGAATTGTTGGTTTTAAGGAAGTACACTGCACCCTGCTAACACCATCAAGTAAGTCTTCTAAATAGCACCCTGACAGGGCAGTACAATTTTTGCATGACTGCCATGCCCATTGCACTTGATACTGTTCTGGACGGAGTAAACCTGAAAGTGATGATGGTCTTATATGTTTCTTAAAATATTTTTTTGCCTTTCTCTGCGAATGACCCATGTTCCAAAGTCTCTTTTTTTCCCCTCACAAGCTAGCAATGGGAAGAGGATATGTTTGTTAATCTTACCATGTTAAGGACAGCTGTTCCCCTAGAACAAAGACTAAAATGAACTTTCTCTTAAGCTACTGAAAAGCAGCAGGGATGATTATCCAGCTTAATTCACCCTTATGCACCCACACAGACCACACAATTACCAAGTGTATCATCACCACACTCAGTGTTCCATCAAACTAAGAACAATCAGCACCTTTCCCAGTTTCCCTGATTTTTTTCATTTCACCTTAGTACAAGGTTCTTCAGGAGTCTGCAATTCCTGCCTGTCCCTGTAGTAAAGGATGACCTTTTCAAATATGAACTCCAAAAGCTATACTAAACCCACACTGTTCCAGATGTTGGTATATAATAAAGTGAATGCACACTGTTTCTAAAGTCAGTAGAAGAATGACCTTTCCACTGGCTTATGAGAAAAGGAGACAATTTAATACGAAGAATTTAAGCCCTGCGTATATTGTAAGAGCATAAGCCTCTAGCTGTAGGATGTTTTCTCACTGTTTCTTGAAAGACAAAGTCAGTCCAGGAATCTTAACATGAAAAATTCATTCTTTTATTTTCAAAAAAACCAAAGTAATCTTTGATTTCAAACTAACAGAACAAGATTAAGAGCAAATTATTTTAATACCCAGAAAAATAACAAGATTTATAGTAATCTATTTCTGGCACTAATATATATGCACGTAGGCAAAAATCACACAAGCCTATTCCACAGGGGCAGCTTCAGTGTTTTCCTGTTCAGGAGCAGGTTCACCGCTGGCTTCTTTTCCTTCTTTGCTTCTTTTGGATTTTTTGTGTTTGTGCCTTCTGTGGCTGTCCCCTTCTTCACTGTCATGACGGCGTCTGCTGTTACTAAATAGAGAGAGAGAAAAAAATACCTCGAACAATTGCATGACACTTCAAGCCCCATTTAATTACGGAGTAAAAAAAACAGCCTTTGCATTCATGTTTGAAAACTGGCACCTGCTCCTGTTCCAACCCACATAGTATTTGGATGTCAGGGCCAAACCGAATTTTTCATGGAATGGTACACACATCCACCCAACCTGTACTTTTTGTTGGGAAATTGGAATGATTTTTCACATTTGTAACCCATATTCTAATAGCAATACTTTTAATAACATCATGTCCCTATTGGCATCCCTTAAGGGTTTGGTTAATTGATCCCCTTCCCTGGACTTAACCTTTACTTCTAACTTAAAAAGGATCAAGTTGAACAATTTCTATCAAGTGACCATGAGGGTTATTTTACTTACTAAGAATCACTGTTGAGTTCTTACATTAATGCTGCTGGATGTCAGCTTCACTCCACCTCTTTCTGACCCACCATTTTTAGGCTTGTTTCCCCAAATTCATAATTTCTGTTAACTAGCTGAGACTGTCACATACATCATTCAATATGAAGTTACCTGGGGCCAACATTGCTTTTTGTCTGTCCATATTTTATATGGCAGACTCGTTCCAAGTAGTACATCTAAGTGTTTACAGTCTTTCCACAAAACTCCAGTTTGTTTGGGGTTCTTTTAAAAGTTTTATTTTTTTAAACTGGTCAAATCTTTCGTATCCTATTAAAAAAATCAAACCTTCGAGATGACTTGTGTCTAGTCTCTTCTTTCTCTCTGTGTCTCCTGTCTCTGTGTCGGTCTTCTTTCTCTCTACTTGTTCTATGGCGGTCATAGCCTCTTTCTGCATAGTCTCTGTATCTGTACCGTTCTTCATCACTGATTAAAAAAGAAGATATTTTCAGGACAGTAACACCAAGCAGTATATATATTAGAAAAAGAAATTCTTACACACTCTCAAGATAAATGACAGAAAAATCTTGATGTTGCGTCTGGGTTTCTAAATGAGATCCACAATGTATGCTAAAAGGACATTAAAGCTCTTCACCTTACACACTAGACTTCTGTGGTTAATGCAATTTTGAAAGGGGATTGTTCAATAAAAAGACGACATGGGAGGAAAAAAGAATACAACAGTGTCACATTAAGTTTATACAGGAGTTATCAAGCAGTTAGCTTAAACCTGTAGCTAGCTCCGAATGAAGTACAATCCTACACAAACTTTAGTAATGTTTTCAGATCAGTGTGTGTAACTCTCAACACTTATCAGCACACTCTTTAACTATTACACCATTTGGGTAAATTAAATTAAATTTTGGTAGTTGATCTATTTCCTTACGTCAGCTTCAAGAAAGGAAAACCTAGGTGCAAAGAGAATGACAGTAAAATATACTCAATGTTTTGGGTTGCTTTTAAAATTAATTTCTCTCCAGTGCCAATGCTGTCTCTACTTCCACTCCTCTCTTGGATTACCACGAGTGCTGCCCTGCCACAATGCTGGTAAAAACCCCTAAATATTACAGGCTATACAAGAATTTAAAGGCTGAGGAACGTATTTTCAAATTTTGATTTGATGAAAAGGGCAATTCTAAGAGTTTAGTGAAATAAAAAAAAAAAAGAGCAGTATCTATAGTTAGCCAACACCACCCAAATGTTACATTAGCATAGCATAAAAAGGCATGCTCATTTTATCATCTCTCTACCAAGAAAATCCTACCCAGATATACTGTCCAGTATCATTTAACACCAAGACTTCAATACAAGTGAACTTACTGTAACTATTTATATAATCACATGAAGTCTTCATAACCATAGTTTGGAAGATCCCTACCAAGTCCTCAGGAAAGGCACAATGTGACCAGGCTTTCTGAGGCAGTAATTAAAACAGGTAACAATTTAGATACTATTAAGCTGACAAAAGCCAAGTGTTTCATGCTTTCTGTCTTTACCAACATTTACCATAAAAGAAAGTCTCTTCCTGAGGTCGTCCCTGACAGCAGCAGAAGAGATCAGACGGATCATGCAAGGAGAACAGCTGAAGCCTAAAGAGATTTCTCATGTCCTGGGGCAGTGAGAACTTAGATCAAAACAATTTTATCTGCCATAACTTGGATCCTGTGGCCATTTCCCAAGTGAAGACACTACATCAGTGATTATTACAGCTATGCATGAAAACTCAGAGCAAGAAGGGGGAATGCCTGAAGCAACAGCACTAGTCTTTCTAAGAAACTCTGTATGATTATATCACAAAGCAAATTTCAAAAATTAGCAATTTAAGATGCTGTAGAGAAGCATCAAACACACTGCACAAAATCCTGTTTTTCTAAGGGATGTTAAAAATATTCACACATCAAAATCAGGAAAACTACAGCTATTACTAAAGAATTCAAAGTTATGATTTGTCACTGAGTAATATGACATTGATTAGTGCCTATATTGTTACAAAATCGTACAACATTTACCAGATTTTATACTGCATTTATAACTACAGATCTGAGAGTAAGCTGATCAAATCCTGCAAAGTACATTTGTGACAGATCGCAGAATCACAGAATGGTTGAGGTTGGAAGGCATGACTGGAGGTCATCTGGTCCAAACCCCTGCTCAAGCAGGGCCATCAGGATCACCAGTTGCCCAGGACCACATCCAGATGGCTTCTGGATATCTCCAAGGATGGAGACTCCACAACCTCTCTGGCCAACCCGTGCCAGTGCTCAGTCACCCCCACAGGCATCATGCCACTATCACTTCTCTTAACTATTGTCCCCCTCTTAAGACAAAAACAAAATTCAACCGCATTAAACACTTTTTTAAAGACTATGTTAAATCTAAGATGTGTCTCCCACAAGAAAAACCTACAACAGAGACACATTGTAAAAAAAAATGAAGACAGTACAGCCACAGCCAGCTTAAGGCACCCTAGGTTATAGACCAGGGTGTGAAAATAATTCACTTGCTCCACTGAGCTGTCCAAAACCCAGACAGGTAAACTAAAGCAGTTGGGGGTGGGGGGAAGGGAGAAAATAAATTCCAAATCTTACAATGCTGAAACCACAAGTCCTATGCCTTTAACTTATTTCTATCTGTATAGATCATTTAACATTGTTTTACCCTCAAGTTTCTACTCTACTATCAGGGAAAGGAGGGAAGTGTAGGGGAAACATTTACAATCTAAGTCCCTTTCTAGTGAGCATTTCTTCTCACG